GCAGGACAGGGCATTCCTCTGGGAGGGCTTGCCCACAAGCCCCTGCTCTTTGCGTTTCTTGAATTTCCGGAAGTATTCTTGGATCAGGAAAGTAGCGTAAAACTTGCCAACTGTGACCTCGTCGTCTGAGAGGAGAGAGTGAGAGAGGAGAGTGAAGGGAGCAGGATGACTCTGGTGAACTTCATCAACTTTTCTCACCTAAAAGTTTTTTAACTTTTTTTTTTTTTTTGGTGGTACTGGGTTTGAACTCAGAGCCTCATGCTTGCTGGGCAGGTGTTCTAACACTTGAGTCACTCCACCAGCCCAAATTTCTTTAACTTTTTAGCTTTAATCTTTTTGGCTAAAAACAGAGAAAAATATATACAAAGGTGTCGGATAAAATTCTCCCATCACATCCTCTTTTCCTACTTACCTCTTCCTTGTAGCAAACCTTTTTCTTTCTTTTTTTACTTTTTTGAGTATTTTTCCAAATATTCTTTATGCAAATAAATTATTATTATCCCTTCCCCCCACTTCTCTTTTGAGATGGGCTCTCACTATGTAGCCTAGGCTGGCTTTGCGTTCCTAGCACAAATAGTTCTTCCATCTCAGCCTCCTGAGTAGCTGAGACTACAGATGCCACCACATCTGGCTGCTTTCCCTTCCCCCCACCACAGGAAGGCTAGGCTGTGATTGAAATTATTCTCCACCTTGCTTTTTCCCCCTCCTGAAACGACATTGCTAATTCTTACTCGAGTCTAAACGTCACATAGCCAGTCCCCCAAGTGCAAATGTGGTTCTGTTGCACAACGGGAGGGAGGAGCCAGTGTCTGAAACACCTTCCTTCTGTTGATGTTTGGGAATTCCCTTCAAACCAGACAGACTAGGTTATTGCACCATGCGTCCATGCTGGCTGGGCTGGGAACCCATGATCACACACAGCATAACCAGCATCTGTCTTGGGAATGAGCTAGACCGTAGGGAAGCCCCAAGTATCCAAGGAGAAGGTTTCATGCACAGTGCATGGCCCCTTGGCCTGCCTCCTGTTCTCTGGGAGGTGGACAGCTGGTTTGGTTAAGTCCTAAGACTTGTGATGGCTTTCTGCCTGTCCCTTGAGAATAACCAACTGCACAGCAGTGATGAGCCTCCCATCTGGTAGAGCCTCATTTCCACGTGGGAGGGAAAATCCCATTGACTCTCAACCAGGGAAGTCAGGAACATGCTTGAGTTCCAGGCATCCCTAGACCTGGGCTGACACACTGGATTCACTACGCAACCTTGAGTCAGCTTCTACCACCTTAAGTTTCTTGAGTGAACATCATAGAAATGCCATAAGCATTAACTATGTGACACATCAGGTGGCATGTGGCCTAGCTAGGTGACTCAGCCCCAGTTTTGCTTCCCTTTGAGAAGTGGTTCTTAATAGAGGGTCACCTCTCAGGGATGTTCAGAAATGCTGGGGATGTTTTTTAGCCATCAGACTGACAGCTACAATAAGTGATACATAGTTATATAATCTACTTACTTAGCCTTTTGTTCTTTTTTCTTTTTTTGCGGTACTGGGGCTTGAACTCAGGGCCTCCAACTTGAGCCACTCCACCAGCCTTTTTTTTGTGATGGGTATTTTCGAGATAGGGCCTTGAGAACTATTTGCCCTGGCTGGCTTTGAACTGTGATCCTCCTGATCTCTGTCTCCTAAGTAGCTAGGATTATAGGTGTGAGTCACCTCACCTGGCCTTACTTAGCCTTTCAAAGTGACGACGAAGTGTCAAACATATACAACATAGTCTTACCTCTTTACACACAAACTTATTTGTTCTGAGGGGGTGCATGTGAACATTTCATCAGTCATTACAACTTCCTGCATAGTTGAGCCTGAGTATTTATGTATTGAAACATGTCTTTTGATGCATTGTATGTTGGAGTTAAAGCACTGTATCAATACTTTGGAAGTTACATGTGTCGGAGTTCCTTGGAAATTCCGCCAAAGTGTTTGCCCATCTCCACACGCAAATGTGGGGTGGCAGCAGATTTCCAACCTCAGTCTGTAGCAGAGTTTGCGCAGGGCACTGCACTTTAGGCTCTTCTACCTACTAGGGCCTTTGGGCTCACAGAAGGATCTGGAGAAAGCAGGCTCCAGCAAGCCTAGTGTCTCAAAATCACAAGTCTCAAGCTGCATCCACATGGAATGTGCCACAGCTGCAGAAGGTGAGGAAACCACGTGACGCATGAAGTGGCAAAGGGGGCGGGACTGCAGGGAGCACTTACCACCTGCAGGGGGCACCACCTGGTCCAGCAGTTTCATGCTGGTCCGCTTCCAGATCTTCTTGATGATGGCCCGCAGCTCCTCGTTGGCTTGTTCTAAGTTCCCTAAGGGAAGGGAGATGCAGGCTGAGAGCCACGATCAGCCTTCCTGATTCATCAGTTTTACAGGGGCACATGTGTGCCAATGGGAGCTCTGCCCCTGAGTCTCCCATGGGAAGGAGGTGGTAAAGCCTAACAGTGGCGGCAGACAGGCGGCAGACATCAGAAGACATGGGCTTCTGTGGTTTAGGATTTTCTCTGGATTTACTTCCTTCACTGGGAAAACTGGCTTCATTTGATGCCCATCCCACACGGCCTCTGGCACACTGGCCTTATAGGATGGCTGAGACTTGTGGCCATAAGTGGGGGTGTGCCAGGGAGCTCAAAAAAAAAAAAAAAAAACCTCTCAAAGAATCAACAACCCATTAAATAAATGGGAAATGAACTGAACAGAAAATTCTCAAAAGCAGAGGTACAAATGGCCAATAAACATATAAAGAAATACTTGACATCCTTGACCATAAAGGAAATGTAAATCAAAATGACACTGAGATTCTACCTCACCCCAGTCAGAATGTCTGTCATCAATAACACAAAAGACAACAAATGCTGGTGAGGATGTGAGGGAAAAAGGAATACTTCTACACTGTTGGTGGAAATGTAAATTAGTGCAACCGCTACAGAAAGCAATATGGAAATCCCTCAAAAAACTAAAAACAGAACTACCACAGGATCCAGCGATACCACCCTAGGCATCTATCTGAAAGAATGTACTCCAGGATATGATAGAGCCACTTGCACACCCATGCTTATTGCAGCACTATTACAATAGCCAAGCTTTGGAAGCAGCCCAGATGCCCTACTACTGACGAACGAATTAAGAAAATGTGGTATATGTACACAGTGGAGTATTATTCAGCCATAAAGAATAAAATTATGTTGTTTGCAGGTGAATGGATGAAAATGGAGAACTTCATGTTAAGCGAAGTAAGCTAGGCTCAAAAAGTCACATGTTTTCCCTCATATGTGGAATTTAGATCTATATGTTATTGTATATGTGGAAACATACATGAGCACATCTGACTATCTATCTGTCTGTCTATAGTGAGAGAGAACAAGATCGTATTAGTGGGTCTGGGGATTATGGGACTGTGGGAGGCAGGAGAGGGAAAGTAAACGTCAGGAAATGAAAAACATGGAAACATCCCATCTATCTATGCGTCATGCACTGTGAGCTGTTGAATGGCAGGGAAGCAAGGTGATAGAGGAGGAGTAAGTGATGGGGGGTTGATCTGATTAAAGCCCGATACATACATGTCTGAAATTCTGGGCATGAATCCCCTTGGACTACCAATATCCACTTTAAAAAAATGAAGGAGTAGGACATGGGCCCATCCATTACCTTCACAGTGAAAGTGGTTTCCTCCCTCCCTCCCTTCTTTTTTCAACAGAGTCTAGCTATGTAGCCCAGGCAGGTGTCAAACTCACAATTCTCCTGCCCCAGTCTCCCAAGTGCTGGGATTACAGGTGTGTGCCACAGTGTCTGGCGTGCCAGTGGTCATTTGACCACTCTCTAAGAGTAACAGGCTAGGAGCTTTTGGAGAGCAGCGGCATTTTCTTAGGTCACACAGCCTTTTCCATTTGGGATGGGAAAGCAGATGATCTTAGCCAGGGTTGCCCCTAACACACGGAGAGCCTTTGTGCAAGCTAGAAGGTGCCTTGTTTGAGTAGTGCAGATCAGGTGAGTTCTTAACCCTTACCTGTTGGCGGCTGAGCACCTTTGCCAGGTGCAGCCTGCATGGCTGTATGTGATGACTGACCTCTGACAGTTACTGCTTGTCACTATGTCCCTTTTCAACACAGGTCTTTTTAACTTCAAGAAAGCTGAGCATTTGGGAGCCCTGCCTGTAGCTGAGATGGGGCTCGGTTCTGCTAGGCAACAACCATCTCCTTCTGTATTTTGAACTATATCCCACACCTGCAAGATGTCACTAGGCAAATTTCTCAGGTTTGATGGAAAGGAAAAGGTCAACATAAAAGAGCTAGGACATTCATTTAAGATGCAAGGAGAGCAGGTGGGGCCTCTTGCTATCAGTGTCGGGTGCTCTGATGCCGGGTGGGGGTGGGGTGGGAAGGTCCTGGGGGCACTTTGCAGGCTGTGAGCTCCTCTCTGGTGGGACTGCTGGACCTTTCTGAGTGGCCCTACCAGTGGTCCACAGAGGGCCTTACCTTCTGTTTTGATCCTCAGAGCAGTCCTGACCAGGGCAAACAGGGTGGCATTGAACATGACAGTCCCATCACTGTTTAGAGGCATATTCATGGAGACCAGGCGCTGGAAGGGTGGGGGGAGAGGAGGAAAGCCTGTGATTAGGGTAGATGGGGCAGGAAGGTTGGAAGGTGCTGTGAGGAAGGGTGGACTCTGTCCTCCTCAGAACCTGCTTCTACAGAAGGATGTTAAGCCCACCCAGCTCCCAGCTTCTAGTTGATGCGCCCTCTGCTGGTATTAAAGAACAGGTGCACATCAGTCATTTGCTGGGCACCACCTGCCAAACAGTATCCGTCCCCATCCAGAGAAGAGAACTACAAGTAGCAGCTCCGTGTGGGAGACACAGTGTGTCCTCCTGTGTATTGACACATTTACCTCTGCCTCAAGCTGATCAGAAGCTTGTGACACTGCACAGGATGGCACTGCCCTCCTCCCTTCTTTCCCTCCCCACCCTCCAAAACGTGCTCCGTGCACTGTGGTCAGTGGGAGCCCTCATGGGGAAAAGCAGTGTGGCACTCATCATGATGCCCGTCTTTGGATGAAGTCAGTGATGTTATTTCTTAGATCACAGGGGGCCCTCCTGTTGATCTTAGTGCCAAGATGGGATGTTCTTTTCCCAGGTGACTGAATCTTTTTGAACATCTCATGGACACTGACCTGGAAAGCTTAAAGCCCAGCTCTCAGCCTACCCAGGTCCATCTGGAGGAGCATGATGGGTACATTCAGTCCCCTCCAGGTGGCATTCTCGACCCTTGTTTCCCCTGTGCTTTTGTGTCACATTTGACTTCTGCTTGCTATAGTTTGGATGTTGAATGTCCCCCAAAGACCCTTGTGCTAAAGACTTGGTTATCAGCTATTGGGAGGTGGTGGAGGCTTTAGGAGGTGGGGCCTAGAGGAAGGAAGTTAGATTACTGGGGATGTACCCTTGAAGAGGTATGAGGACCTGGGCCCTTTCCTGTCATTCTCTTTGCTTTCTGGCCACCATCAGGTGAACAAGCCTCCTCTACCACATACTGCCCTGGTGTACTTGCTGCCACAGGCCCAAAGCAACAGAGCCAGATAACCATGTACTGAAAGCTTTAAAAACATGAGCCAAAATAAACCTTTCCTCCTTATAAGCAGATTACTTCAGGTATTTCATCATAGTGACAGAAAGCTGAAAGCACTTTTTTTCCCTTATATTTTCTTTGTGGGACTGGGGTTTGAACTCGGGGTGTCTTGCTTGCAAAGTAAGAGCTCTACTGCTTGAGACACACCTCCAGTCTCCTTATATTTTCTGGACTCATGGAAATCTAAAATCTTTTTTGGAATAAAGTGGAGGTGCAAATGAGAAAAACAGAGCATAAGAAGTTCTGCTTTCTCTCAATTCTCCATTTTCCATGAGTGAATCTGATCTGCAGAGCCAGATCTTTTTGTCCTTTGTGTTTCTTTCTCTATAGCTCTCACGTCTCACTCCCCTTCACCGGATCTTTCTTGGCTCAGCATTGTTCCAACAGGGAGAAGAGTGGTGAGGAGGGTTGGGAGTAGAAAGGACAGTCCTCAGCCACTGCTGGGCTACATGACCAGAGGTACAGTGAGGCAAGAGTAGGATCCCAGGCTCCCAGGTTTGGGGGTGCTCACTCTCAGGGTTAAGCAGTTGTGTTTAGCAGAATCTAGTGTGTTTGTCTTAACCTATTCTGGGTCACAGACTCACTTAGGAGTCTGACAAGGTAACAGAACCTTTCCTAGGTAAAGTCTGCATAGGATTTTAGGGCTTCTCCAATCCCTGAAGCCAATGCATAACCTCTCTATTGGCCCCAGGCTCCAGGAACAGAACTCCCCCATCACCCTAGGCAAGAGGTCTCTTGGGATACTAGGGTGGTGCAGCCTGATAGGCTGGGCAAGTCCTTTACTCAGACTTGCACAGGGCTCATGGGATATGGAACTTTAATCCTGCTATTCCTTTACAGGGTCTGAGAACTTAGATCTGGGAAGACCTTTAAAATATAATCTGGTTCCAGCTCGTTTCCTTTTCTTTTCTGCGGTACTGGGGATTGAACTCAGGGCCTCAAGCTTGCTAAGGCAGGTGCTCTACCACTTGAGCCACGCTCTCAGCCTCAAGCTCAAGTCTTTAGGTACATAAAACGCTCTTTTTTCCCATAAAGGATCAGTAGCCTGACCAAGGTCACAGGACAGATAGGATCTTGCCTCCCATATTTTCTCTTTTCCTTCCATGAACCCAGGTCATCTCTTACTTTGCAGGCCACGCGGTGAGGACACAGCTTTCCAAAACCCAGGGGGGGCTGAATCCTCCTAAGAAGCGTCACCACATCGAGGTGCTTGATACGACCCCTAGAGGAGGAGGAGGGGAGGGCAGAGCAGTCAGAGGGTCACAGTCTCTACCAGCAGCCCAGGACTCAGGTACTGGCAGGTGGGACCACCTACAGAGGGCATGCCCCCTAGAGGCCTGTGGCCAAGCCCAGTGCAGGGCTGCAGGGTCAGACTCCCAAACCAATGCACACATGTTAAAATCGTAACAGAACAGTTTTGTTCATGCTACGCTCAAGGCAGAAGAGATTTTACTAGTGCAATTAAATTGTCAATATGTATTTGCTTTGACCAACTAACCAGCTGACATTTAGGGAGTGCCAGTCAAAGGTTATGAATAAAAGAGGGTGTCCGTAGACCTGAGGGCATGAGGGAGTTGAGGTCTTCCTGGCCCTAAATATTACAATGTGAGCACTCACTAGTTATTCTTGACACTAGGGTCTCTATCCTTCCATTCAACTGATATGTTTTTGACTTAGTCAAAGGAACTGGCCTCTGGCTGGCCCTTGACTTTTTACGCTGGGGCCTGGTACAGCTCAGTGTTTCCAAGTCCACCCAGGGTGATTCATCTTGGATGCATCGCTCCATCCCCTCTCCGAGCTTGGGGAGTCAGGGTCTTCCTCTGGGAACTTACTTGGCTTCAGGGTCGTACTCTGCCCAGATTCTTTTAAATTCATCCAGGTGGTGGGGGCCAAGGATTGACCAGTCCCTTGTTAGGTAGTCGAAGTTGTCCATGATGACAGCTACGAAGAGGTTGATGATCTGTGGAGAGCAGTTAGTCTAGTAAGGCGCCCTCTGAGGACTTTCTTACACCTGGGCCCAGGCATGGCAGAAGCCAACATTTGTAAATACCAGCAATGTGACAGCATTTAAGACACCGGACCCTGGAATTTGGGTCTCTTGGACATGAACTTGACACTGCCTGCCCCTGAGCTCATGTGGGATGAAACCCACATGTGGGCTGGACAGCTTTCCTTGGACCAAGCTGCCAGGGATGGAGAGTGGCTTTATCTGGTCACCTTTCCCTCACTCCTGAGCATGGTGCCAAAATGTGTACACTCCCACCAAGTCTCCATACATTTCTGTTGTCTTCTGGGACAATGTCACCATGACAAGAGCCAACAGTGGACAAGAGGGATGCTGACAGAGCTCACTGTGGCTCAGGTCTTCCTGCCCTTTTCTGTGTGGCTGGACACCTCTGCTGGGTCTGCCCTCACCCTGAGCTGTAGTCAAGGGCTTGGGCTTCCTGGACACTGTGCACTCATTGCCTGTGGCTGGCAAGCCCTCCCATCCTTGGCTTACCAGGAAGGCACAGAGCATGTAGAAACTGATGAAGTAGAAGACGGCAAAGCTGCTGCCACAGGGAGTCTCTCCTTCCGTGCTGTTGTTCTGCTCAGACTCTGGGGCACACTTCTTGCCTGGCATGCAAGCCAGCATGATGTCCTGCCAGGCCTCACCTGTGGCACACCTGGAGGAGAGAGGCAAGAGACCCTAACACCCAGGTAGCCAGTCTCACATGTGTGATAGAGGCCCCCCCCCGGCATCCTTGCCCAGAGGGAATTACTAAATCAAACTTGGCATTTGTCATTTCCAGAATGCTCTGAGATGTTCACTAAATAGGAAAATACACAGCATTGTTTTGTATGTTCTAAAACTTTATGCACGCAGTAGCAACTTTTGCCTATCTGCAAACTTGCTCTTTCTGTGATTCGTGTGAAGGTTTTAGACTTAGCCATTTGGGTATATTTTAGCTCTGGTTCATTCCTTTTGGCTGCTACATAGGAGTACACCTTAGGAACAGACTATTAAAAAATCCACTCTCCACTGGGTACCAGTGGCTCACACCTGTAATCCTAGACATGTGACAGGCTGAGATCAGGAGGGATGTGGTTTGAGGCTAGCCTGGGCAAGTAGTTCCAGAGAACCCCATCTCCAAAATAACCAGAGCAAAATGAACTGGAGGTGTGGCTCAAGTGGTACAGTGCCTGCTTTGCAAGCATGAAACCCTGAGTTCAAATCCTAGTTCCAGAAAAAAAAAATCCGCTCTCAAGGGACATGAAGGTTTTTCAAAAATTTTGGAGCCGGGTACTGATGACTCATGTCTGTGATATCAGCTACTCAGAAGGTGAGATCAGGAAAATTGTGGTTTGAGACCAGACCAGGCAAAAAAGTTCTCAAGACCCCATCTCAACCAATAGCTGGGTGTGGTGGGGCATGCCAAGCATACCAAGCTATGCTGGAAGCTGAGATTGGGAAGACTGTGGTTCCAGACCAGCCTGGGCAAAAAGTTAGTGAGACCCCATCTCAATGGAAAAAAGCTGGGCATGGTGGTACATGTCTGTCCTCCCAGGAATAACAGGAAGTGTAAAGTAGGAGGATTTCGGTCCAGACCTATTTGCACCAAGTGAGACCCTATCTCCAGAATAACCACAGCAAAGAGCTGGAGGTGTGGCTCAAGTGATAAGAGTGCTCGCCTCACAGGTGCTGTTCCCTGAGTTCAAACTCTAGATAGCAAAATTAATACTGCAATAAATGCAGGCCCTGTCATGCTTTCCAGTGGATTGCCAGGTGAGGGACATCACGTCTTCAGGTTTAGTGGGCAGTGCTCATTCTCGAGTGTTTGTCCCATCCAGACCCTATCATTGGTGTAGGAGAAATGTCACTAGGGACCCCTCAACTCCTGGTGCTCATGAATTTTAAAGACTGATGACATTATGAATGTGAAATAGTATTTCATTGCTGTTTGAATTTGGCTTTAAAATAATTAGTGGGTGGACAATTTTGATTTCATCTTCTGTTGTATTGCATGTTCATATTTTTGCTTGTTTGACTCATGAGCTATTTGTCTTCTTGTTCATTTGTTCGGTACTTTATCTATTTATATATTTCTTTGTTACATGCATTACAAGCATGTTGTTCAAGTTTATGGCTTGTCTTTAGCTTTATTTGTAACAGATTTTGATGAATCTAAGTTTAAAAAATTTTTTTTTGGTGGTACTGGGGTTTTAACTCGGGGCTTTTCCCCTGCTAGGCAGGTGCTCTACCCCTTGAGCAATATTTTCAGCCTGTTTGGTTTAGTTATTTTTTGGAAAGGGACTTGCATTTTTCTTGGGAGCCAGCCTCAGACACAATCTTCTTACCTGTGCCTCCTGCATAGCTGAGATTACAGATGTGACCGTCATACAGGGCTTATTTGTTGACATGGGAGTCTTACTAACTTTTTGCCCAGGTTGGCCTTGAACTGCAGTCCTTCTGATCGCTGCCTCTCAAATAGCTGGGATTAAAAGTGTGAGTCACCACGCCTGGGCATTTTTAATTTTAATGTGTGCAAATTCAGAATCTTTTGCTGTCTTGTGTTTTTTTGCATCTCATTAAAAATCCTTTCTTATTCTAGAACACCAAAATATTCTGTATGTTCTCTTAAGGTTTTTAAGGTTTTGTTTGTCATAAAAACTCACACACCTGGAATTTACTTTGATATGAGGGGGAAGAAGTGTGCATTTCTGTTTTTCTTCATAGACAACTATTTTTCCTTGTACTATGTATTGAGTCACACATCTCTACCTACTGATCTGAAGTAGCTCTTCTGGAAAATTCTGTTTCCACAGGAGTGTGGGTCTTGGCTAGCCTTTCATTTCATCCATAGGCTGATGTGCCTGTGAGCCCTGGTACCAGGTGGTCCTCATTACAGTGTCTCACTCTCATGAGGAGTGAGTTGCTCAATATGTCTTGATTATTTATTTTCTCTTGCTAGTCCATAACACGTGGAATCAAGTTATATAATAACCTTGCTGAGAGTCTGACTGAAATTGCATTAAAATATAGGTTAACTTGGGGAATCATGACATAAAGTCTCTCAGCCTTGAACATGTAATATATTCAATAACATTTTGTAATCTCTCCATATACATTATTTATTTATTTGCATAGTGTACACTGTGACATCTACAAAAGTGCTTATAATACAACTTAGTTAGATTACCCCTTCCATCTTTCTCCTTTCTCCTCCCTTCCCCCCTTATTAGAACAGCTTCAACAGGTCTCGTTCCATTTTCACACATGAATAAATAGTACTTCCACCATATTTGCCCTCCTTCACCCTTTCCTGTGCCCTCCTCCATCCCACTGGTACCAATTCCTGGACAGAACTTGTCTTACCTTCCTGTCCTTCATTTTTTAAAAGAAGACATTTTTGTTTGTTTATGATGATTACACAGGAGTTTCATTGTGGTATTTCCACATATACCCCATATACATTTTTTGTTACATTATTTTTAGGTATCTTTTAATTTTTGTTTTTGTGGTACTAGGATTTGAATTTAGGGCATTGAGTTTGCCAGGCAGGTGCTCTACCACCTGAGTAACGCTCTTAGTCCTTTTTTATTTTTTTGAATAGGGTTTGATTTTATGCCCTGGCCTGACAGGATCGCAGTCCTCCTGTTTATACTTCCCATCTAGCTGGGATGACAGGTATGCCCCACCAGACTCAGTTTTTTTGGATTGGTTGAGTTGCAGTCTCTCAAACTTTTTTCATGAGCTGGCCTCATACCATTATCTTCCACCTCCTGAGTAGCTAGGATTACAGTTGCCTGGCTAGTATATTCTTAATTTTGTTGTATATTTAAAATGCTACAGTTTGCTGGATAAGGCAGTGCACATCTGTAGTTCCAGCTGCTTGGGAGGTTGAGGCAGGAGTTTGAGTCCAACTTGGGCAACACAGTGAGACCCTGTCTCACACACACAAAAAGGTACACTTTAAGGGCTGAAAGTGGGGAGGATAGAAGGGGGACAAAGGGAGGGACAAAGAGAGTGGACATGATCACTCCATGATATATGCACATAGGGAATGTCACAGTGAGCCCCATTAATTTGTACAATTAATATGTTAATTAAAATCATATTTTAATATAAAAGTATCAGTTAGTTATAATGTAGAGACATTGATTTTATATTCAGGTTTGATGAACTCTCAGTTTCAACAATTTATCTATAGTTTCTCTTATATATTCTACACAGGCAATCAATTTTTTGATTTTTTTTTGTTTTTTACTCTCCAAAAAAAATCATGATTTATTCTTGTCTTATTGCATTGGATAAAACTTGCAATATAATATTTACTAGAAAAAGTGATAGCATAAGATCTTGCCATTGTATATACCGATTAGTTATTACAAGTACAAGATAGTGATTCTTTTTCTTTGTTAATCTCCCACCTTACCTATCCTACTCATTGTTATAAAGGAATTTAGTTGATTTGCTCAGATTTTCTACTTGATGAAACTGTTGTCATCACAATGATGATGGTTGTGTGTACACATTTTCATTTGCATAAACTTCTTGCTTTTTTCTTATTGGTGTGAACTTTTGTTCATCTTATGGGATGAGGGGGGAGGTCTCCCATCTTTGTTTATTCTTGAAAATTTAAATAATGTAGGAATGATTTATTCTTTTATAGTTTGGTAGACCTCACAAATAGAAATATTAGATCTTGGGCCTTTTTAAAGGCTGTATTTTTGGCCTTTTCAATTCTTATTGTAGTTGGTGCTATTCATTTATTGCAGGATTTTCAATGTTACAATGGCACCAAAATACCTCTTATATGAAAGGATGTTTTTCCCCATAAGCTTTTAGTGAATGGCTGTGTTTATATTGACTTTATATTGAATCTGTGGCAGTCCAGAAAAGCTTTATGTTTATGGAAATTTTTTAAATGACTATTTGATGTTTTAAATTTGCAGTTTCTTCATATATACATTTTTCAGGTTAATGCTTTTAAAATTTTTCTTCTTAACATAATTTTTGTAATTCAGATTTTCCCAGACAAATGCATCTACTTCATTTAGATTTTCAAATAAATTAGAATAAAGTTGTCCATAACATTTTCTCTCTCCTTTTTTTTTTTTTTTTGGGATCTGATCTTACTCTTAGACAATCTCATATTGGTTGGACTCAGACTGAGAGGCACAGTTCGTCACTTGGCAATCTGTCCCAGGCTTTTTGCTCTTGGCTCCATGTCTAGTATGTTTTGGCCTCTTGCTTCTTTTCCTGAATATGTCATTCCTACAGAGCCACATGACAGTGTGTTTCAGGGTACATGGAGGACAAGATGCTGACTTGTGTGCATTTGTCCCACAGCTCTTACATTCTGTGTTCAGGGGCTTCCCCACGACACACTGGTGGACATCCCCTTGTTTACAGAGAGTGAAATGTGTGTGGATCCTGCTACTTTCCTGGAGTCCAGGCAATGAGGCATAACAGTATCAGTCAGCTCAGGAATGTCCTCTGTCCTCTCTTCAAAACAACTAAGTGGATATCCACAGTGCAACCTGGAATGGATTTGGACTTGCTTATCTCCAGGGCTCCTCGGTACCCAGCGGCAGGTGCACACAAATGTGCTTTGTAGGGAAGCCTCGTGTACCATTCCTACCACTGATTCAGAGTGTGTAACCTTCCCACCTTCACCCAGAGTGCCAGCTTCTGTGGTTAAACGCCTGACCCAAAAGGAGCAAAGTCAGTGCTCACTGAGCGAGTTTCTGGCTGCCAGTGGCTGGAAAGGTGTTTAAGTTTTACCTTGAAGTAGCTGACCCCCATGGAGCTGGCACAAAAAGAGTCATAAAATTCTTCCATCACTCTAAAAATCATTTTCACATCCATAATTACACTGCTTTTTGCCTTCCTGATGTTGTTTTAGTTGGAGTTGATAAAAATTTATGTATTGTCTTTTCAAAAAAACAGCTTTAGGGTTTATTGCAGAAATCTCTATTTTTTGTTTTATATTTTATTTGTGTTCTTATATTTTATAAGTGCATTTCTTTATACTTTGGGATTATTTTGCATTCTTTGGCCCATCTATTAGTTCATTTAATATAAAATGTCCAAAATAAATGAATTCTTTGGTATTGATTAGTCATTTTGCACAGGTAAGATTCAGAGCTTGCTCTGACTTCTAAGAGTTGTAGTTTCAACTTTGAGTTATTTAGAAGAGTAACTTAAATATTTTAAGTGGATAGATTTTGGAGGGGCTGTTGCTATGATGGTTAGTTTCTAACTTTGCCATATTAAAGCGAGAGAAATTTTAGAATTTTTAAAATTCTTCTTAGTGACAAATTACGCCTGATTTTTGTGAATGTTTCTGGGTGCTTAAAGAGAATGTGTCTTTTTGCCATTTATTGAGGGCAAATCTATAGATTAAGTCTGTTAATTGTATTATTTAATATTCTTTACCTTTTCTCCTACTTTGATCTACTTGGTCTGTCTCTCTCTCTGGGATGGATTTGGTCATCCACTGTGTGCGTGTTTATTTTCTCCTTATAGAACTACCAATGTCTACCAGATACATTTCCAAACTATATTGTTAGGTTTATGTCATTTTTATGACATTTATATATTTTTAGTGAATTTTACCTTTTATCAATACCAAATATCCCTTTTGGTCTGCCTCCCTTGATTTTGCTGTTGGTACATCTACACTGTAAGCGTGGCCTGATGTTGCTTTTCTATCTTTATTTTCATTTCTATTATAAATAGGCTAGAGTTAGACTTCTTAAGGCCAACATTAGATTATTGATCTTTTAAAAATTGTAATTATTCAATCATATTACTTGTATAAATGACTGAGTTTCACTGTAACATTTCCTTGCATGCATATATTGTGCTTGATCTTTTAATGGAGAAAATTAACTCATTTAATTTTTAGGAATTATTAATATCTTTGTTCTTATTATTTTTGTTGTGCCTTCTGTCCTAATTTCCTAATTTTGTTTTATTGCTGCTTTCACCCTTCCTTCTTTTTGATGAGTTCCTATGGTTTTCTTTGTCCATTTTTTTTCTCCTCTAGTGGTTTGGAATATACACATTCCATTTCTATAGTTGTTGATCTTTAAATATTTGACATGTATGTTTATACACACTTTTCCCTTAGTTATATAAAGAGTTATCCAGTAACTCTCATCTATTAAGATGGTCATATGGTTTCTGTCCTTCATTTGTTAATGTGCTGAATTAATTTAATGATTGCATGAGTTGAACCATCCTTGCATTCCAGGTTTAAATCCCACTTGATCATGTGAACAATGCTTTTAATGTGCTGTTGAATTCAGCTTTCTAGGATTTTGTTGAGGATTTTTGCATCTGGGTTCACTGGGAATATTGCACTGTGGTTTTCTTTTCTTGTAGCATCTTTGTCTGGCTTTGAAATCAGGGTAAAGCTGGCCTGAAGAAGAGCACTTTGGAAGTGTTCTTTCTTCTTCAAATTTTTGGAATTTTTCCACTTTGAAATCTTTAAGATTGTTCCTTTATTTTTGGCATTCTAAGAAGTCATCATAATGTGTATAGTTAAGGATAGTTTTAATTAGCTTTTTCTGTGCTTAGTGAGTCACTGATTCTGAAGGCTCTTATCTTTATTTGAAATTTTATTTGATTGTTCCTCCATCTAATTCTCTCAATTCTTCTGATCTTTTTGCATCAAGTTTCTATTATACAGGTAGGACTTTTCTGTTTCTGCCCTTCATGTCTTAACTTTTATTTCATATTCTGTATGTCTTTGTCTTTGGTTATATGATGAGAATTCCCTGGCTGATTAATTCATTCTTTGGCTATGTCCATTCTGCTATACATCCCATCTACTTTTTAAAAATATTTCAACCCTGGTATTTTTCTCTCTTTACTTTGCTGTTTTTAATAATGGCTGTCACTGCTGCTGCTGTTTCTCTAGATATGAATTGCATATCTAAGGATATGAATTACATTATTTTTAGGTCTTTTGGCTGTATTCATTCTTTTCCTCCATTTGTTTATCTGTGAGTTGAGTGTGATGCCTCTCTTTCTTGATGCTGGTTTTCCCAAATATTTTGGGATTATTTGTTCATTGTTCTTTGTGAATGGGAACCCAGGTCACGTCTCTGGATATAGGGAAGAAAGACAGATGTGCTACCTGGAGGTTGGGCAGGACGCTTCTCTTTTTTAGGGTAGATTCCCGGGGGCCCTGCTCTGCCTCTCAGACTCCAAAGCCCAGGGGTAAGATATCAAGTGCTGTTGCCACCAGCTGTGAGCACTAGCCAAGGCTCCCCAAATGCAAGCCCCCCTGGTGCTAGAGGTCCAGGCTGGAGCCTCTCCTGGGCCAAGTATCTTTATCTCTGAGTCACTATCATGTCCCACATAGTGCCTCCCTGCCTGGAGGTGTGTGCTTTCAGATCTTGTTCCTTTGTCAACTGAATCCCAGATGACAACATCACTACTTTAAGTACTAGTTGCTTGCATTTAAGAATTTCTGGTTTCCCTATAGCACTGTCTCACGGTGTTTTTTGTTTTTTCCTATTCCTACCTGTCACGGATTTATCCTTTTAAAAGAATATCTCCTGTCATGAGATAGCCAATGTGATCAGTTTGAGGTCTGTCCAATTCCCATGTTTAAGTGTGGCACAGGCTTAAGTGCTGCTGTTAAACAGCAGTTTATGGTGGTCCTGTGTCCAAATGGTTTATAATCTGAAGGAAGTATATTTAAGAAATCTGACCTGTTTTTGGTGGTGCTGGTGATTGAACCTAGGTCTTTGTGCATGGTAGGCAAGTGCTCTACAACCCCATTCAGAGATCACCTTTTTGACAAATGTATTTTGAGCAATGATGAACTTGGTCTTGGGGAAAAGGTTCTGTAGGACAAGCTGAAGGTGGGGATATCTGACAGATGGTCCCTGTGCCCTCAGGACAGGACCCACTGCCTCTCCTAGTGACTGGTGGATAGAACACATGAGCAAAAATAGACTTTGGACCTCATCTGCTCCAAGAGCAGGACGCATAGTTTTGTCTACCAGTCTTGAACTAGATGGGGCCTGAATATGAGGCTCTGATAAGCTAGAAGTGAGAGATCAGAGGCAGATGAGAAAGGAGAAGCAGGACTCACAAAGGAGAATGGACTCACTCACAGGCAGCATGGGAAACACTCCCTTCACAGCCATCTCTGAGGTGGTGGACTTCAGAAAAGTATGGAGACTCAAGGCGGTTTAGTGAGGATGAAACCAAGTACATGTGAACATAAGCACCCAATACAGCACATGGCATACGCCCTGGCAGTGATCAGCACCTGTATTTAGTCTATGAGGAAACAGACTCAGAGGAGGTAGATGTCATGCTCAAGGTTAGAGAGCCAAGGCATTGAGACTTGGCTTTCAGCCTGTTCAGGTCTCAAGCCAGGCTGCTTTCAGGGTCTGACTTGAATCCCCCAATGGCTTTGGGTGGTTACTTGCACCTGTGTGTGTGGTGGCCAGTGTGCTGCTCACGGGAAGTTAATATCAGTAACAATGAAATGACATGCTTCCTGGTCATTATCTCTCTTCCCACTCCCCTGGAGTTTCCTCTTCAACACCCAGGCTATGGTTGTGTCCTGCAGGTGTGTGTATGCACACCTGTGTCCTCGGAGACCCACCTGAAGAGCAGCAGCACGGCCTGGGGGAAAGTCTGAAAGTTGTTGTTCCGGTTGATCTCTGTGGTGTCATTCAGGGCGATTTTCCCAAACACCTAGCAGAGAAAAGGAAGAACTGGGTGAGCTGTGGAAAGAGAGGCTCCTAATATCCAACCACTGTTCAATGGTCTGTTTAGGGGGTGCATTCATTCTGGGACTGGCTGGCCTATATGGTGAGCAGGTTTTCAATGTGATCCCAGTAGGCACCTCTTGCCTGACTGCCTTGGGTCCCACGTCTCTCCCCTTGGACCTGTGTGAGAGAAATGTGCCCACAGCTCTTGGGAGCAGTGTCACAGTCCAGAGGATCTGGGGCTGAGCATGGTGGGAGCCACCACCAGGACCCTGTTTTGGGCCGGAGCCAGCACTCGCTGCTTTCTTTCCTTTGCTGTTTCAAGTCCGTATGCCCAAACCTGCTTCCAAACGGAGGCCCTTGGATTTTTGAGTGATGTGGAATGTGTGATCCAGGGCTTGGACAAGCTTAATTTCATGCCTTAGATCAGGTCAGAGGGCTCCTCTTTTTTCACCCATGGCCTTCTGAAGCTAAAGGGCTGCCCTGTGTCAGATGGTAGTTCTTTTAAGCTCAAAAGGGTTTGCCTGTGAACCTTTGGGTCTGTCTGCAAAGAGCAAGCAGAGACTTTACTTAAGGCACTGCTGAGGAAAAGCTCCTGGCTGCTGTGCCAGTGGGCTGGGAGGTGCTGCCTCAGTCTGACCTTGGGGAGCTTGTCAGAGCCCTGAAGAGGCTGGGAACTTGGGTCTGAGAAAGGAGATGTAGTGGGCACCCATGAGGGAAGGCCCCCAGAATACATCTGCATGTTTGATGGGGTAAGGCCTTCCCCTCCCTTTTCCTCCCTCCCGGTCACCAGCTTCTGAGTGGCACTGGGTTGTCAGGTATGGATAGAGCAGGGGACACTGGCTGGACACACCATTCTGCTTCTTTGAGAAGGAGCTGTCTCTCCTGAGGTCCACCCCCTAATTCCTGGGTGCTTTCCTCTACTGCTGCAGAACCCAGGCCTGGGTCATGGGAGGGAAGCTCTTTAGGCTATATCTTCCACCTGTGGTCATTCACCTGCTGCCTACAGGATCTCCACTGGGGGAAGTTCTAGCTGCCATGACCTTGAGGGGCAGTCAGGAACAAGAGCCAGAAGAGAGCAGGGTGGCAAGGAAGGTGGTGCTGGGGGCTGGGAAGAGACCAAGTGGGAGCTGAAGGGAAGGGGAGCGTGGGATGGGACGGTGCTCCTACCTGCATCCCTATCACGGCATAGATGAAGAACAGCATCACGATCAGAAGGGCCACATAGGGCAGAGCCTGCAGGGAAGCACAGAAGGACCATGAGGCCTACGGGGCTGGCCAGGTCCCCTCCCAGGGAGCACCGTGTCCCTGCTCTGCAGACATCAGCTGCTGCCCCATGGAAGTGCTGGGCACCTGAAAGAGGGAGCCTGACACTTCTCATTTTAGCTATTGATTGATTGATCGATTTAGGGCCTAGCAATGCCAGGCAAATCCTAGCCCTTAGCTTTTTTTTTTTTTTTGGGTGGGACTGGGGTTTGAATTCAGGGCTTTGTGGTTGCAAAGCAGGCACTCTACTGCTTGAGCCACATCTCCAGTCCATTTTGATCTGGATATTTTGGATGTAAGAGCTTGTGAACTCTTTGCCCAGGCTGGCCTCAAACTGCCATCCTTCTGATCTCAGTCTCCCAAGTAGCTAGGATTACATGAGTGAGCCACCAGCACCCAGCCTTAGCTAGGTTTTAAAAGCAGGCTGCAGGGCTGGCAGAGTGGTTCAAAGTGGTAGAGGCACCTGCCTTGCAAGTGTGAGGCCTTTGGTTTAAACCTAAGTACTGCCCCTCTGGAACAACAACAACAAAAAGCAGGCTGCAGAGGAATGTGGGTAGTGTGATGTTACTTTAGTAAGAACAGTTTAGTAAGAGGGCACAGACTTTCCTCCAACTACCTAGGTACATTTGCAGAAGGAGGGAGCGAGTGGTGGAGGGTGCGCACCACACTGACCATGGTCCCCTGGGGAGGAGGCAGGTTATGCCCATTCTTTCCACAGCATACTTTTATTCAACTCGTTGTAGAAGTGAATAGGCATTATTACTGTCCTGAAAACACTTAATAAGGAACAGAATGTAAAAGATCACAGCCTTAAATCCTATTCTTCCTACTTTTTAGCTATGGGAGCTTGGGCCTACTACTTAACTGATCTGAGTCTGAATGTCCTCATCTGAACAACGGAATAATAACAGTTACTTCTCAAGGTCTGTGGCTTTTCAGCAATTTTAAGGCTTATAAAGCGCTTACCGCAATAACTTGCACCTTAGTTGGGTTCCATATCCAATATATTATCTTCCTGGCACCTTGGATGACTTAATTTTGCAGAGCCACTACCAGTTAAGCAGAGCACAGTGGGGCTGCACACCACTTAGGAGCCCACTTTGCGCCTAAGCAAATGTGTTGCCAGAGGCCCAGACACCACTAGATGGCGCTATGAGATCGCCCAATGAAATGTTTTCCTGCCTAGTGAGCACGATGCTCCACATTCAAGGCCCCACCTGGTGCCTCTTCCCAGCCCAGGGAAATGTGTGTGTGTGCACCATATAGCCATTCACATCATCTTTGTAACTCAGGGATCAAGGACAGGGTCAGCCTTCTAATGGAAGCCTTGCTTATATTAGGGCCCATGACTCAAAACCCCAGGGCCTTGGTTGGGGCAGCCACGGCTCCTGGTGGGAGGAGCACTGGCTCACAGTGCGATGCCAGGTGGGGCCTGATTGCTGGTCTGGCAAGGAGCCTCAGGTAGCCTTGCTGGCAGGGACGTGCCATTGGGAGGGGAATTCAAACAGGGCAGGCACAGGACCCTAGGGCACCTGTCCTCTGGCTGCAACCACAGATATGGGCCCACATGAATTAAGTCTGACCCCAGGCCCTATCTGAGCCTGGATGGGCTAGGCCAGGGGCCAAGGAAGGCCATTCTTCAGTGCCAGTGGGACTTGTGCAGGAGGAGAAAAGCTGGCCTCCCACACTGGGCCTGGGAAGCACAGTTAGGGGTTTCTAGCATCACTGCCTAATGGCCTTGCTTCTCTGAAACTTCACACTTACATAATACTCCTCAGAGCTGGCCAGGAATGATGGGAATTCTGTTTTTACAGATGAAAACCATGGCTGAGAAAAGGGAGTTAGTCATGGCAACCCTGTGCCACTACAAGGGGACTGCTCTCCTGGAGTGGAGTGACACTAGGGTTCCCAAGAGATTGGCTAGGGACAGCAGACATGGCTGATGCTGTTGTTGGGAGACTCCGAAAATGCTAGGACAGGTTATCAGATGATCCAGGCCCCTGTTTTCCAATTTGTTCCATCCCACAAAGCCTTTTTATCCAGTAGATTCTTTCAGAGAACACATAAATGAGAGAAGAAAGCAGGGCCGTTCTGGCCTCCCTCACCTCCCACCCTTTGGCACCTTTGAAAGCCACTTTTGAAAGACACAGCTTGCTGCCGTCACGAAGCTACTGAGTGGCAGAGGGAGGGCTGCCACGGGGACTTGCATCGTGGGATGGAGCTCCTTCTTTCCTGGCTTCACTTGTTCCCATCCTAAAGCTCAGGACAGTGGTGGTGGAATCCCAGTCCATCTGCTTCCTTGGGGCTGAAGAGGTGTCCCTACAGGCCATGTGGAGGGAGATGGCATGCCTACCTGGAAGGACTTGATGAAGGTCCAGAGCAGGGTCCGGATGCCCTCCCCACGGCTCAGCAACTTGACCAGACGCATGACCCGGAAGAGGCGGAAGAAGGTGATGGAGATGCGGGAGTTCTCTTCTGCATTCTGGAAGCCGTTGGCAACAGGAGGTGCAGTTAACACAGCAGGAGAGGGGGAGGGGGGCGCTCTGAGAAACACAGCCCTTGGCTGAGGGGAGGCAGGTCAGGGTGGGGTCAGCTGCACTAGACTCTCCCCTCAGGTCCCCACTCCCTAGTCCAAGGTGGGAGGTCAGCACCCACCTTCTCTAGGTCAGCAGCCCAGCTCCAAGATCTCTGCAGAGTCAGGCTGATCCCAGGCCCCTGAGCCTGTAATGTGCCTCCTCACTCTGTCTTCCCCTCTATTCCTAGTTCTTGATGCAGGTACTATAGGCTTTGGACCCTAGGCCCACGGCCCATGCCCTTGGAGTCCCCTGTCCTCCAGCAGTTTGAGGATGCAGCCAAGCCTCCTTCCTTTGGCTGGACTGTGCGTCCTACCGAGTGTGGCTTTCTGCAAGGAGGCTGAGTGGTGATGGCCTCCCTCTCAGCTATCCATACGTTACATCTGGGGTCTTGGTGGGTGGAGTGGGCTACCCTTGTTAGGGGGTCTCCTTCCCTGGCTGCTCAGGTTACAGCCATAAATAAAATCAAGTTAATTGATGGTGCTATTTGATATAGAATGTAGATTAGAGCTAGTTTTTAAGTTAATATTATTAAGCCTGAGATAAGTGAAACTCCTTGTGTTACTTGTGGTCCAGCACCTCTCTGTGTCTTCACCTTTTACCTCCCAAAGCCTGGCCCTGAGAGGCTACAGGGGTGGGTGGGGATGACATGGGCTGCTGGGTGCTGGGAGACTGTCTGGTTGTGGCCCATGTCTCCTTGCAGATGCTAGAGCTGCTGCCCTTTTACTGCCCTCGGCCTGGGGCCTCTGAGAGGCCCAAATCCTCCCCAGGCAGCACAAGGTCTTAAAGAGGTGGGACTCAGGACTGGGGGTGTCAGGGGAGGTCTCCTGTGCAGTAAGCCCTAGAAAGCCTGGGTGCTGTATGAAGGACCCAGGGATGCTGCTCAGGGTGAACCATCTCCCTCTGTGGACTCCTGGAGGGTGAGGAAGGGAGGGGGATGGCATCGAGGCCAAGGCACATTGACATGGGTTTACGATGCTGGGCTGCTGGGGTCTGTGAGTGGAAGGCTCACTCGTGGCTGCTGGACAGTACAGGCTGCTCTGTCACCTTCTGCCTCTAGACCCGAGAACAAAACCTGACTTTTCCTTCCACCCTCCCATCCATGCGGGCACCCCTGTGCTGCAGAGCCCAGAGATGGTGGGTGCGACCAGTGAGGGAGCCCTCACTCCTTCCCAGAGCTAGTGCAGCCCACCCAGCCCAATGCACCAGGAGAGAGACTGGACCCTTGAGTTTCCTGTTAACTATTCCCATCCCATGCTTCCCTTGGGGAAGGTGGGGGTCTCCCTCCATTTTCACTTTCCCTCTAGCTTTCTTTGACACTATTTCCAGATCCTGCCCTTCCTGACAATATCCAGGCCTGTGTGCACTCCCTAGTGACCCCTAGCCCCAAAGACCCTAAACTCCACAGACCCTTCCATTCTAAAGACATGCTGTGACTATCCCTGGTGACCAGCTGGGTTCGTCTCACTCCTGCGCAGAACAGGATGCCCTGCTGGGCAAGACAGTCGGAGGCATTTTTTTATTGATCAGCACAGCCCTCATCCTGGGAGGGCTGCATGGAAACCAAACCACAGGGTCACTCATGGTTTTCGACCCTCCAGACAGAAGTGTCAGAGTATTTTTTTATATTTGAAAATCAGAGCTGGCTCAGTGGTTTCTAGAGCTCCTCTTCTCCCCTTCCAGGTAGGGAGTAGACAGACTTGCAGATGTTGGGGTCCTGTTATGCAGACCCAAGTAATTGGCCCCACGTGGTGGGGTGGGATGCCTGCAGTGGGCACAACTTTTCCCTCAGCAGTCGCCTCCCCACCCCCTGCCATCTTGCTTCTAGTTTGCTGATTTTTGGGGCTGGAGGAATTAGCACACTCATCTTTATAAAGACTCTCATGGGACCCAGTTTGAAATGTGGTTGGCAGCCTTTTGGAGGAAGGTGTTCCAAGGAGACTTCAAGGTCACAAAGAGAGGCATCTCTACCATGATAGCCAAAGTGAATCATGGACACCTCCATCAGGAGTGGTCCAATTGATTGAGTTTGCTTTCTGCTTCTAGTCTGCTGTAGAAAAGTGGATGTAGTCTAGTTGTAATGAACTTGGAGAATTTAGAAGGGGTTACAATGACCAGAGGTTTAACCCCTCAGGAATAAATCCCAGCTTTATGCCTCTACATGGCCTTACACTCAGAGCCCAAGGGGCTGGCAGCAACAGTGGCTGATTAGCAGAAAGTCACTGCTGCCTTTCTGTCTCCTGACTGGACCACCTCTCTCTCCCTTCTTCCTCCTGGACACCTCTCAGAGTCCTTGGGATGTTTAACAGGAAATGGCCCTTGGGTCCAGTTCTCTCCCAGTGGCTTATATGATAGTCAAGGTCACGGTGAATTACTACCGGAGGGAAGCTTAGGGAGGTAAGGGAACACCACCACACACGCAGCCCTCTCATAGCTCACGCGAGCACAGCAGGCAAGGCACACGACGGATGGACGCGGTGGCCACATGCAGTGGGAGCCAGGCTGGGCTCCCAGAGACTCTGGAGTTTGGGGTGGGACGAGTGGGGGTGCTAGAGGGGGTCACAAAAGCTGGGAGTGTGTCTGGAGGGTTGGTCTTACCATAGAGGGAGAGCATTGGGTATGTTCAGCTGGCTTTAAAGAAAGGCAGACAGAGATAAGCTGTAATGAGTCTCCACCGAAGACGCCCGGTACTCTAGGTGTCGGCTAACATAGGAGCAACACAGTGGAGGAGACAGTGAAGAAATACACAGCATGGGCCTAGCGAGGTCAAGAGCACCACCAAGCGTGCAGGCTGTGTCCCACTGGGCCTCCCATCCCACAAGGACCCATGAGGCATTCTCCTGCCCTACCTGTGACCATGTCTTGCCACCAGTTGAATAACACACCCACTTCAGATGAGATGTGAGGTCTTCTGAGTTTTGGGTGGGGGTCTTTGTTTGGTTTTCAGTTAAGCTGTGTTCTAAGCTTGTGCTCTCTGCACTTTGGCCTGTTCTAGGCTGGCCATAAGACCAAGACTGGCTAACACCAGAGCCTATCCTAGGATAGGAGACTCAGGTCTCCTCTTAGGTCAGGGGAAGTTGAATTCTAGTTATCACCAAAGGGGACCTAAGGAGGTGGTTCTCAACTCTTTTCAGCTTGGCTGATCCTCAAATTTAGGCTTAGGCAGGACTAGGCCTTGCTTAGTCCACAGGTGTGGCAACCCTTGGCTACTGGCATAGTGAATGTTGAATCTCTTTTCAACCCTGAAGGCCTTGCACACAATTTAGGAGATTATTATGAGCCCCAAGAAGTTGTTCTCCTGGGCCTGACTGCTGAGTTCACTTGGGGCAAGAACTCAGGTGAGCAGACCAGGGTCCAACTCTTCCCTGGTTCTCCTTGTCCTTGGGAAATACCCCTACTTTTGAGCCCAGCTGGGTTGATCCTGACTACCAGAGCTGTTAACCTTTTCTATGGTATCTCTTGGCCTTTACTTTCCACTTTCAGATGTTGCCCTGTGTTTCTGTTTTAAGGTACAAAGAAAGAAACATGTAGTGGGAATTTTGAAATGTGTACAACTAGACATTTGCTTGCAGCCTGAAAATACTTCTTGGGTAACAGATTTCTTAGCAAATATTTAAAAAGTTTCCCATAGAAAGTTGGTAGGATGTCCTTTTTGGGATGAATGGTATCGATTTAGGGTGAGAGGGAGGGAAGAAGAGGAAGAGGACACTTCTCTAATTACTGAGCATATTGCAGCTGTTTTCATAAGGATTGTCAGATCTCAGGACAGCTCATATGCCTGGAGGGGACAGGCTCACTAGCATTTGGCTACTGGGCTGATAGTGAACACAGAAACAGGTAGACACAGACACACACAGGCAGACAGACAGACAGACAAACACAGAGGAAATTTCTTGTCAAAGCACTCACTCCCCTTTTCCAACTGACAGTTGTCATAATGGTCAGGCCTATCTTTTGGCATCTTTTTACCCCAAGGCTGGTTCAGGCTTACACTACTGTATTAATGGATCAGGAGTTCTAGTTTTCTGGGGATTTAGTGGGGTGGGGATGGGAGGGCCAGAGGGAGGTGATCTGCCCTATGTCTAATGCCAGGTAATAGGCAGAGTTCCCAGGGGGCCTGGGCTGTTGTTTCCCTTTAGAACTACCTTGAAAACTCTCACAGCTGCCTACCACTTCCAATAATCCTGGGCAAGTGCTGGAAGGTTTTCTGGGTCAGTGTCATCCCTAGCAGGACCAAAATGGAGACAATTCAGAGAACCCACTGGCTCATCTAACCCAGTTGAAACAACCTCTGGTCATTAATTTTTCTTTAATTTTACCCTTCATTGGGGATTTTAAAACATTTGTCTTAGCTGTCTTTTCTCTCGTTGCTTTTTCTTTAACCTTTTATAGCTCCCAATAAGATACTGTCTATTTTAATATTTAATATCAATAATCATATTGATGCATTTTATTGTTTTAATAATATGCTATTAGTTTGATAATGCTTATGACTTTTGTCATTGTAACAAGAGACAAGAAGAAGCCAGGAGGAGCTAAGGGCAGTGGAGGGGAAGGAGAGGGCTTGCTGAGACCTCCATGTTGGGTTTCCAGCCCAGCTAATGACAACTTTCCAAAGAGCCTCATTTTGGGAGAGTCTAGAAACTCACAGATTAACATTTTTTTAAGTCTTAAAAACCATGCTGTTCAGAGACCTTTTGACTCCTTGGAGCCAGTGTAGCCTTAAACATCTCACACCAACTATGTTTACAAAAATCTATGGTCTCAAAAATAAATACTCATTCATAACAAAATCAGAAAGTAATCACTGAGTGAGTTCCATGTGGAGGCAATGAAGAAGCTCTTGCCCGCAGGCTGCTGAGATATGGGCAGCCCTGTGGGATGTTTCTTAGCTGGCCCCATGTCGTCATGTGAGTCTTTGGTACCTGCCCAGCTGCAAGTGTAATTCCTTGGTGAGCCAGAAAGGCTAACTGGACCCACAAGTATTAGAGGTCTGTGGTGTACCAAGCTAAGCACTTTGAGCTCAGAGATTTGTCTACCTTATTTGCCAGTATGTGAGCCTCTCACATTGTGTGCTGAGTACTACCTACCATGAGTTCTGCTTTTGGATCTTAATTCAGAATGAGTTGGCAGCCTGGAATACTTGTGAAACAATCTCTGACCCTCCCCCGGATTTCTACCCAGTTCTTCTGGGTTTGTTTATGGTTTCTCCATCCTGAGTGTTCCTGGGGAAAAAGGGTGGTCAGATTCCCTGAAGACTCACCCATAAGCCTGTGGCCCCTTTCTACATTCCATGTCTATGGGGAGCCAGCAGAGTTGAGCTGCCTTCCTAACTGGAACATTCTAGCTGATTTTCAATACGGTGCTATATTGCCACTAATGGTGAATTTGAGCAGTCAATTCTTTCTAACAATATGATCATTTTCAAGGGTTTCAAGATTTTGGGGCAATTAACTCCATTTGCTCATGTGTTTGGTGTAAAGGAATGAGGTTACTGTCCCATATCTGAGGCAGGAGTGCATTTCAGGGATTTGAAATGGTCCCAGATTAAGGGCAAATAGAAAGCAAAAGCCAACGTCCCTACTTCAATACATCTATGCCAGTGGCCTTGGTTTGCATGACTGGCAGTGATGAAAGGAAGAGCACTGGGTGCTAACAAGAGATCACCTCCGAAAACCTTCTTCAAAGTTG